ATAAATTTAACATTGTAAATGTCGACAAGTTCAATATTATTAAATTTTCATTTGAATACTTGCCCAACACGTTTAGTGTGTTTAGTTTGTGCGAAAACATATATATGTCGTGCATCAGATTAAAAATTTGCGTCAGATCAAAATTTAAATTCTGAGTGCCTATGTTAGGTATTAGCGGAATTATAATGATTCGAATCTGAAGCAGATTCTAATTTGATGCACAACATAAATACGTTGGTTAAAACTTTCAAAAGTGCTGGCAAAACTTTCATGATGCAGGTGCAATAATCTTGTACCAGTGCACTAGTTGACTGTTAATGTAAAAGTTAATTACGTACATACATACGTGCATACGTACTGTACGATTATATAATTTTATTCGGAAAACTCTTATGATCATAGATTTATTTCTTTTTATTATTTTTTGGTGTGTTATGTCGTTATCATGTTTATTCGAATTAAAACTCAGTTACTGTAGCAAATCACGACTTGAGAATAATGATCATGAATTGCCAGATAACACAAATATTGACATGCGTTGATAAATATTATATATTTATTGGTTCTATTATGCCGAATTCACAAACTTAATCGAATCGGTTGAAGCTTCATTCGGTCAATTTTTATCAGGTGTCCAGGAATTATGAAAATAGCTGTAAATATATTTGACAATTTTTGTAAATATATGAAAGAAATAAACAATCTCTGGAAATATTGAGTTTCCTTGAGGAATAAAGAGCCTTTTCAAAAATTTCTCAATATAATGAAATTATGAAATTATGAAATTATATTATTATTAGATCAAGGCCATGTCATTATTATTATCATCGTCGTCTTTTTTTATGAAAAATTCGGTGATACTTCGATTTTTCTTAACGGATTCGATTGATTGGCGTAGTTTTTTCTTTTTTTCATATAGTTTTCTGGAGTCGGTTTTCTGAAAATTCGAAACCCGCCAACGACCTAATTCTCGTCTCAAAGACAAAATCCTAAAATTGTTGTGGATGATATAATAATCTCTTGAAAGGGTTATATTGAAATGGGAATTTAGGACAGGGTTAATCTCTCGGTGATTATCCGCATCGGTAATATCTAAACATTCAATCCCTTCGGGGATTTTACAGTCTACACGAGGGTTGCCTTCCATGAATGAGATTGTTGCGCGAAAGGCTCCAGGGTTTTTGGTTGGGTCATCGATTTCGATATGAGGGTCAATTTCATTAGGAGTGATGAGAATACTGAATTTGAGATCTTGAAAATCATAATCACGACGTTGTAAAGGTTTTTTGAAATTGACCCCCGTGTCGAAAGACATGTCGTTTATTAGGATTTAAAAAGGATACTGTAACGTTATGGTCCATTTTTATATTTTAGGATTTGCCGATCAAATTTCGTGTAATATTCAAAAATGTTACACGAATTTGATCGGCAAATACGTACGTTGTGACGCAACCAAGTTTCAGAATTAAACTTTGGCTTGTGGAACATGGGTAATATGTAGTGTAACTCTATAATAGTCTAAGCGAAGTTTATAGTAAAGAGTATACTTTAATT